GGCCATTCTTATATTTATTTCGCTATTCGTTCCCATATTTAACTATATTTTATCGTACTGGCTTTAGAGTAATTTATTTATTAGACTTGCTATAAAGAAACTTATTGGTGTATTTAGCACTTAAATTGCCAACATTATTTCTGACGAATATTAAATTGTTGCCTGCATTAGACATCGAAATGATGATTTTGTGTATTAAGTCCATTTCATCTATTGCAATAATATATATGTTTACACCTTACTGATATTTTTTTGTATTTTATACAATGATTGTGCTAAATTACTTATAGAAGTTGTTCTACCTTGTTTTCGCAACTTGGTCATATTGGTAGGAAGACTTAGAGGAACGCACCTAGTCCGGAGTCCATTTTATGCATGATGATTTCCAGTCAGACCGTGGACGTGGTACATTCTGCCGCCACACAGAATGCCACACCATCTTGGTCTTCATATCTTTGAATTACTTAAAGCTTTATCCCTAGGGTCAAAATGTGCCACTGTATTATTTTTCTATTTATTTTAGTTGCCACTTATTCACTGTTATTAAGCTACATTCAGAGCCTCAGTAAACGCGGATCTATAGAGTATTATACGAAGGGAGCTTGCATTAAACCAGGTGTTAATGCAATAAAGTTTTATTATATTATTTATATTTTGCATAATATCCGTACCTCTCACATGATATTCAGACTGAGCTTTTATTTTTTAGGTGGTGCAGTTTTGCCCTCTTCAATACCTCCTACCTCTCAGTCAAATCAACCTGCTGGACGACGACTTCTCCCAGCTGATCCTCGCCTCCATCATGCTATGGCCCGTTCGGCAATGACGTAAGCGTAATATAAAATACTTTCCATAAGTAGATTTGTGATAGTATTTTAAATATCTTAACACCTCAAACAAATAATAAATTCATTTTTAATTTTCTATCTTTGCTTCTTCACTATAGCAAAAGAAAGCGCCGTCTAGCTGATCGTCTTTTGACTAAGACAGTGAGACAAATAATCCCAGAATCTGAGTCTTATATGGAGCTACTGGAGGTCGAAAAAAAACTCGACTTAGTACTGATGCATAAACGGCTTACTTTACAGGAGGCAATGAAAAAGCCGTTTAAGACGAAACGTAAACTTCGAATCATGCTTAGCAGTATTTTCAAACCCGGAACTCCACCTTCTATTAGGTCTGATGGCCAGATAATTCAGCCGGAATCCGTTCCTGGTTGGGAGCTTAAAGTCGAAGGCCAGCTTTTAGATAAAGTACGTATCATATTTACACATTGTAAATATATGTTCAACTACGGCATGATGATGTTCAATTCTCGCTGTATCATAGAGTGGTTCAGTCTGCTCACATCGTGTAAACTCCATGTTTTTGCCCCTTATCTAATTGA